CAGCCAAGTGGTCTCTCCTCTCCCGTGCGCCCTGATGCTCTTCCTGCTGATTCGGCACATACAGTTCGGCCTCTCTCTGTCTTAAGTCCTATAATGTCTCCTCCGTGAGGTCAAAGTGGCAGCCACGGCGTGTAGCTATGTTGTGTATAATGCAACATGCCACGAAGAATACACTGACTTTCTGGGGGCTGTATGTTAATGAACCACCTGAACGGTCCACACATCTGAAATGCATTTTGATCTGGCCAAAAGTGCGTTAGATGACTGACCGAGCACTACTGAAAACACGGTTAAAACCATGTTGTCTTCTTGTTGTGGGTGTAATGTATGGCGTTATCAGCCACGTTTTCAGTGGATGGCCATTGTCACCTAGCAGCCACCCATCCAGAGGGGGGTCCCCCTGAAAGACTGTGGGGATGACAGAATTCGCCAGGATGAACGAGTCATGAGCGGACCCAGGAAAATTAGCATACACATGTGTCACCAGGCAATTCGAGTCACAAATCACCTGGATATTAATGGAGTGTGCTCCCTTACGGTTCACATAAGCGATGGCTTGGGTATCTGGGGTGCGCAACTCTAGCTACATGTGTGCAGTCGATTGCTCCCAGTACCCCAGGGAATCCACATTTCAACAAGAAACCTTGCTTCGTTTCCAGCTGGCTCTCAGATGTGGATGGAAAAATGATGTGCTCATTTGCATGTCTGACTAGACTAGACGTCACTACATGTATAGCCGAACTGAAAGCTCCCCGACTGATCCCTGCCACCGCGGCCACGGTGTGCTGGAAAGACCCGGTGGCGAAGAAGGTCAGAGCCACTGTCACCTTTACAGCAACAGGGAGAGCACAGGTGCCACCGGGGTGCGCATCAGAGGCCACGATGCGCGTCACCACTTGGACCACCTCGCGGGGTAGATGTAATTTGTTCTTGTGTAATGAAAAAGAGTACGTCATGAAATGACAGTTACACTGGACACGGCGGTATTCCAGTCATTATTCGTGTGGCCCACCTGCATTCCAGCTCTGTCATGCCCAAATAGGATGTCCTTTGACGGTACACCCTCTCTGCGTAAATCCTCCTCCTCGCAATAATGTACTCCATCTTTGTAGATCATGTTAAGCAAGAACATTTTAACATTTGTATAGGCAATCACATGAAGCACGTAAACCCTTAAGACACCGAACATAACTTACAATTTGTTGACAGCTTTTCTCTTGTGCACGTGTGCTCTCTCTTTCTCTCTCGCAGTCTCACTCTGTTTCTTTTCTTTTGACTTTTCTAAGATGACAGATGCTGAATATATACTCCCTATCTGATGCTGTGGCTGTTTGTGGTTGGCTGAGAGGGATGTGAACTCATTAGTTTGCAGCTGTGTTAATCAAATCAGGTTGGGTTTCCATTACGTGTGCCAAATGTGCCAAACGGTGCAAATCCCCTTTGATCTGACATCAGATGTGACGGGACAGTCGATATAGAGATACATTTATGTGCTGATTGCAGATAGTTGCATTGAATAGTGGTTTTTGTGGGTATTTATTGCATTGTTAATGTGCCTGACATTCTGGAAACCTGCCTGTGAGGTTTTGGTGACGTGTGCGCACTGTCCACCGGTCAGCCAAACTTCCACTCCACCGGCTGCACTCCGCCTGCGCTGACAGTAGACCTGGTTTCAGCTGGCGAGCTTTTAGAGCACCTTCGGCAAAGCCTTTTGGCACGAAACTGTCACTGCGCCAAGCTGGATCTGTCGACACCTCCCCCTGCTGCTTCCGTTTTCACAGGAAATTTACCGTTGACATATTGTCTTTTTAAAAATAAACGCACTTTATGAGTACAACAACGCAAAGTGATGTTTTTTCTTTACTCTAACAACTAATGCACATGGTTGGGTTTAGGCAACAAAAACATGTGGTTAGGTTTTGGCATGAAAAGCATGTGATTAGGTTTAGGAAAAAAGAACAGGGTTTAGCTTTAGAATCTTATGGGACATGAACACCACTGTCCCGGGTTAAGGTCAGGAAATTTACGGTTTACATACTGTCTCTTTCAAAATAAATCCTGTAACTTTCGTTCTTGGACTGCCGTGTTTCCCATTGATGCCGCCAAGCGCCGTCAAACTAAACTCCTCAACAAAAGTTTGGAATTATTTCAGTCAATTATTTCTCCCCTTTAATAACACTAATTGGTTTTCAATCATATAACGTTGGAAAGCCTGATTAGTCACCTTTACAACAAGGTATCACTTGTAAGGATCGTGCTTTCGTGGAATGAGCAACACAGCTAAACGTGTGGGTAGCGCCCCAAAAAAATGTGCCAAAATCCCCTGCAATATTCTCCTGTTGGTATTCACTCTTGTTAAGAGTTGCTTGGTGGATTGGATGATTGCACTCTCCCACAGCAATAAGGAAAAAAGACAACACATATTGGCCATTTTTTTCTCTTTATTCATTTTACACTGTCAGGGACCTCAGTAGCATGTGGAAGATCCATACGCAGCCACAACAGCTTGGCACCTCCTCCTCATGGTTAGGGTGACCATATTTTGATTTCCAAAAAAGAGGACACTCGGCCAGCCATGACATAGCCTACTTAAATGATACTCACAGTTTACTCGAAGATGCCTTATCATTTTAATATATTTAAAATTTATATGTATGGATAGAAAATTCAGTTATATTACAAAATAATATCTCTCAAAGACAGAAATTCAGATAGGCCCCAATAGGGGACACATACACATACACATACTAGAGTGTGGCGATCCGACCCCGACGGTACCCGACGGGTCGGGCCGGGTTTGGTCAAAAATGTAGCTATAAATTGTATTCGGGCTCGGGTCGGATTCGGTCAGCTTTCAGTGAAAATGTAATGTAAAAATAAATAAAATCCTATTGTCTATCCTGTTTATTGCTTGGGCACTGTTATTTACGTGACAACACCTGAACATAACACACACAGACACACATTGGCTGTTTGTTTCTACCTCTCCCCTCGCTGGAAGTCTCGGACCTCCAGCCGCCCAACTCCGCCTTGATTAAATGCTGAAAATAAAATAAAAGAGGGAGACAGGTTTTTCCTATTTTATCTTATTTTGTTTTATTTCTCCCTCTCCTCTCGCTGGAAGCGTCGGACCTCCCGCCTCCCGCCTCCCGCTCCCACCTCCTGCTCCCGTCTCAAACACGGAGGTCTCCCTCTCCACTGAGCAGCCACGGCGCGCGCCCGGCCTGTTAAATAGCCTGTAACTGTAACAACTGTGTGACGGGCTTGGTTCGGGTTCGGACAGAAATATGCGGCCGATGCCGCACTCTAACACACACACACACGGAAAACCAGACATTATCATCAGTTTATAAAAACCCCCCGGATGCCCCGGACGCCCTGGACGGGACGTGAAAAGTGGACATGTCCGGGCAAAAGAGGACGTTTGGTCAGCCTACTCATGCTGGTCACCAACCTAGCCACATTTTGCTGTGGGATGGCATCCCATTCTTCAACCAGGAGTTGTTGAAGTTGAACCAGCGTGGTTGTGTCGGTCACTCTGGCACGTACAGCATGCCCAAGCTGATCCCACAAGTGTTCAATTGGGTTGAGGTCTGGACTCACTGCAGGCCATTCCATCCTCTCCACGCCCAGATTCTGGAGGTAGTCTGTGATGATCCTGGCTCTGTGGGGGCGAGCGTTGTCATCCTGGAGGATGGAGTTAGGTCCCAGATTCTAGAGATATGGGATTGCCACTCCAGAATCTCATTCCGATATCTCACTGCATTGAGATTGCCTTCAATGATGACAAGTACTGTTCTCCCATTGAAAGATGTCACGCGATCTGTGTAGCAATCTGCATAGTGTTCTCCACGCCGTCTCCATACTTTGATCCTGCCATCCAGCTTCCGCAGACAGAACCTTGATTCATCACTGAACATGACGTTGCCCCACATTCTTAGGTTCCACTGTCGGTGCTGTCGACACCAGCGCAAACGGGCCTGACGGTGAAGGCCAGTCATTGCAGGCTTCCTGGTAGCCTTATAAGCATGAAGACTGGCCATGTGCAGTCTGTTCCTCACCATCTGATTAGAGATCTGTCTGTGGTACCGTTGTGCAAATCTTGCCTGTAAATCTCTGGAAGAAAGCCTACGGTTCCTCAGTGAAGCAAGGGTGAGGAACCGGTCTTCTTGGGGTGTTGTCTTCCTGGGATGCCCACTTCTCTGTCTGTCTTTGACTTCACCAGTCTCAAGGAACTTGGTCCTAAGTTTGGACATTGTACCATGGCTGACACCAAATAATGCTTCCACTCTGCGTACCGGAACACCAGCTTCCAGTTGCCCTACTGCACGGGCCTTATCCTGAAGGGACAAATGCATGTTGATGCTTGGAGCACACACAAACTCAACAAAGTTGCAGGACCCATGCACACAAGTGCTGTCAATTAGGTGCTAATCAGGTGCCAGTCACACACCTGTGACTGGCACACACCTGCCAGCACTTTAAGCTCAAAACAAGAGTGAATACCAACAGAAGAATATTGCAGGGGATTTTGGCACATTTTTTTGAGGCGCTACCCACACATTTTGCTGTGTTGCTCATTCCACGAAAGCATGATCATTACAAGTTATACCTCATTGTAAAGGTGACTAATCAGGCTTTCTAACGATATGTAATACTACACCAATTAGTATTATTAAAGGGGAGAAATAATTGACTGAAATAATGTTTCCAAACATTTTTTGAGGAGTTTATAACCACTACCAGCTGCGTATCATGCTGATGTTAAAGGGCGTTTTTTTTTTTTTTTTTTTTTTTGTCAGTGACATCCATATTTGAAGCATTGTCTACTATCACAGCTACATATGAGTCTAGACAAACATGGGTGCAAACTGTAACTGCAACTTAACTGGTTGGTGTATTTCCAGTTTACTTGAAAACACCACATACTGTGCTGTGATTGGCAGTTGATCTATGTGTTTTAATAAAAGACATTCAAAGTCTAATCTCTTGATTTCCAGGCATGGTAGCCCAGCGGCTGTGTGATGCTGAGTTAAAGAAGGAGTTGTCTACAGTGTGGCCCAGCCTGTCTCAAAAGACCATGGATCTATTGGTGACACCACATAAGCGTAAGCATTTCATCATCTACATCTTGAACTTTCTGGTGTCACACAAACTCCTTGTCACAACCTGGCTTAGAGAGGCCATGATTAAATAGGAGACACACCGTGCCAGAGATTACACACAGTAACTTATTTGACAAAACTAGCTTATATGACAGAACATGAAAGGACAGGGGATGTATACATCAATGACGTCAGTAGTGCAGGGTGTGCAAGGTAGGTGAGAATGGTTTATGAATATTGTAAAATGCATAAAATAAACAAAGGAGAAGAAAGTAGAACCTAACACTGCCACATAACCAGAGGGGTACCTGCAGGGAGAAACAAAGAGAAACACAGGCTTGTTTTTATAGACTGGGAACAGTGGGCCCAGGTCCTACCAGATGGCATTGGCTGCATCTCAAGTCTCTTAAATTGCATCCATGTTATTCTCACTTGTATCTTTTCTTTACGTCTTAGTCTCTCCCACCAGGGATGCATGAAAAGATGCAAGAAAACCAAGGGAGAAGAGAGGAAATATGTTTATAGAGAAATGTGACGTTTCCTAAAAAGCGTCACATGAAACAACTTCTGACACTGGCAGTTGATCACCACTGGATCAGCTGTTAGTCGGCTATATTAACAGCTGTAGAAACTTTTGATGGAATTTGTGTCTGCACGCGCATATATATATGTACAGTCAGGTCCATAATTATTTGGACAATGATACAGTTGTCGTCTTTTTGGCTCTGTACACCACCACAATGGGTTTTAAATGAAACAATGAATACCTGCTTCAAGTGCAGACTCTCAGCTTTCATTTAAGGCTTTTTTCAAAAATGTAGTATGAACCGTGTAGGAATGACAACCATTTCTTCACACAGTCCCCCGACTTTAAGGGCTCATAAGTATTTGGACAAACTAACATAATCATCAATTAAACAGTCAGTTTTAATACTTGGTTGCAAATCCTTTACAGTCAATGACTGCCTGAAGTGTTGGACACATAGGCATCATCAGATGCTGGGTTTCTTCCCTGGTGATGCTCTGCCAGCCCTTTACTGCAGCCGTCTGCACTTCCTGCTTGTGTTTTGGGTGTTTTGCCCTCAGTTTTGGCTTCAGCAAGAGAAACGCATGCTCAGTTGGATTCAGGTCAGATGATATGACTTGGCCATTGCAGAACATTCGTTTTCTTTGTCTTAAAAATGTCTTTGGTTGCTTTTGCAGTATGCTTCAGGTCATTGTCCAACTGCACTGTGAAGCATCGTCCAATGAGTTTTGAAGCATTTGGTTGAATCTGAGGAGATAATGGTGCCCCAAACACTTCAGCTTTCATCCTGCTGCTCTTGTCAGCAGTCACATCATCAATAAATACAAGAGAACCAGTTCCACTGGCAGCCATACATGGCCATGACATAACAGTACCTCCACCATGCTTCACTGATGAGGTGGTGTGCTTTGGATCATGAGCAGTTCCTTCCCTTCTTCCTTCTCTTGTCTTCCCATCATTCTGGTAGTTGATCTTTGTTTTATCTGTCCATAGTATGCTGTTCCACAACTGTACAGGCTTTTTAGATGGTTTTTGACAAACTTTAATCTGGCCTTCCATTTTTAAGGCTAACCAATGGTTTGCATCTTGTGATAAACCCTCTGTATTTATTCTAGTGAAGTCTTGTCTTGCTTACAAGAGCAGCAGGATGAAAGCTGAAGTGTTTGGGGCACCATTATCTGCTCAGATTCAACTAAATGCTTCAAAACTCATTGGACGATGCTTCACAGTGCAGATGGACATTGACCTGAAGCATACTGCAAAAGCAACCAAAGACATTTTTAAGGCAAAGAAGTGGAATGTTTTGCAATGGCCAAGTCATATCATCTGACCTGAATCCAACTGAGCATTCATTTCTCTTGCTGAAGCCAAAACTGAGGGCAAAACACCCAAAACACAAGCAGGAAGTGCAGACGGCTGCAGTAAAGGGCTGGCAGAGCATCACCAGGGAAGAAACCCAGCATCTGATGATGCCTATGTGTCCAACACTTCAGGCAGTCATTGACTGTAAAGGATTTGCAACCAAGTATTAAAACTGACTGTTTAATTGATGATTATGTTAGTTTGTCCAAATACTAATGAGCCCTTAAAGTTGGGGGACTGTGTGAAGAAATGGTTGTCATTCCTACACGGTTCATACTACATTTTTGAAAAAAGCCTTAAATGAAAGCTGAGAGTCTGCACTTGAAGCAGGTATCCATTGTTTCATTTAAAACCCATTGTGGTGGTGTACAGAGCCAAAATGATGACAACTGTATCATTGTCCAAATAATTATGGACCTGACTGTATATAATATATCAAAAAGACACACAGTTATCACTGGCAGAGCAGCAGTCTTTTCTCTCTGTTTAACAAGCAACAGCACATAAATAACAACCTGCATCTTGTATTTATACTGAAATTATTTATTGATTATTTGTACCTGTATTTATTTCTGATCAAAATGTTTCAGGAAAAATTTAAATTATGAAGGAGTGATCAGCTTCACATGTGACTGATTGGAAATGACCATCAGTGATGTAATAAGTGTTTCTTGCTGACAGACACACACTGACTTTAACTGTCTCCATAATAAATGTTAATGGAACAAATAACAGATCGTGAAAAGAAAAATCTTTCTAATAAATGAAGAAAGTTGTCTGTCTTTTATTGTTCAGACCTACAGTTTACACAGTTGTTGTTTCAGCTAGATGGTGAATCAGAAAACAACTAAAACATCAAACTTGGCAGTGATACACTTCAGTTTAATCGCTTATCTGTCTATATGTATAATGGTAATAATAATAATAATAATAACAATAATAATGATAATAATAATGATAACTTAAATTTATATAGCGCCTTTCAAGAAACCCAAAGTCACTTTACAATACATAGTAATGAAACAATAACACCAACAGAACAGTACAATACAACACAAGCAGTACAGAAAAGCAACAAAACTATAACAGACAACAGAAGAAGGCAGAGAAAGTGTGTGATGATTATCGAATTAAAAAAAAAATTAAAAAGCCATGGTGAACAGATGAGTTATGAGGGTGGATTTGAAAAGAGGATGGGGCAATGACGCTGAAGATGAGATGCCTCCTCGATCCTCAAGCCTCACTCCTCTGGGCAGAAATAAGAGCTTTGAAACAGTCTTCAAAATGGTGCACCAGTATGATTTCCGGTTCCAGTGGTGATCAAGAAGCAAGGAATTGACAATTAAGAGACTTGAGATGTAGCCATTGATGACCAACCTATTAACTAAGCTGGGAGGTGAATTATGAGAACACTGCTGAATAGGTAACAGTAGGGGTTGCCACAATCCCAAAGAGAAATTGTTCATTATGTAGGATAACACTAAATTATTTCTGCAGGGAATTCTTTTAAATCATGGCACTGATGATGTTACAGTGTCTCCAGCTTTTGAGAAAATCTTTCTCGACAAATAGTGTTGTTTCTTCACTCACCACCAACTTATTAAATAAAGTTACCTTAATTAAGTAAGCTTACATAATCTTCTCAAATTTATAAGGTACTGTACATAATTAGCCTGAATATCTCAGTGGTATTACCATGGTAACAGTACATAATGAGGCATTATGCTTCCCCTTGTGTAGCAATACAAAGTGCTTTGGAGTTGCTCTTTTCTAAAGTATATATATTTTTCTATTGGAAGCAGCTACAGTGTTGCAAGTCTTTTTCTTTCTTCCTGATCACGTCTTTTCGACTCGGCACCTGGTAATATGGATGTGCGTGTGTCTACCTCTCCCAAATTTTGTGCTGGACCAATGCACTCGTTTGGAACTGGTGGTGCCCCCTGTTGACCATAACCCCCTAACCCTAACCCTGATTTATAGATTGATTTGTGATATGCCAAACACATTTTTTTTGCATTTGTAGTGCTCCCTAGTGGTCACTTCAAGTGAATTTTTCAGGGTATGTTTCAGGTACTAATGTGGGCTCCTCTCGCAAGTTTCATAATGATTGATATTGAGGAGGTAGGCTGATGTCTGTGCTGAGATATGCCCACTTTGAAGTTCATTTGCAAATATCTTGCAAATACAATACAATGAGGTATAAACAACATTTTGATAACTTTTGATAAGCTTGGTCCAATAATGATCCACAGAAAATGTGGTTTTTCATAAAATTCAAAATTGCGGAAAATTGAGTCATATGGACCTCAGTGGTTCCTGAGGCCTTTTTGTAGAGCCCATTGAGCTGGACTTGCGTGTCTAATTTCAAGTCAGATGGACTAACAGTGTGAGGGGCAGAAATTTCACGTGTACAATGTACCAACAAGAATTTGCTAGTTAGAAAGAAAAAAAATAAGTTGATACCAAAGCACTCATGTTTCAGCCCTTCCGGCTTGAACTTAATAAATAGCCCTACAGGTAAAAGGAAATACAAGTACTTTTGATTTTGGGGTGAACTTTAAGTTCCCCTTTAGGGATGCTCTATTTCCATTGACTGTAATAATTTACATGAGGATAGAATTTAAAATGATGTCACACATTCAATTTTTGAGATATAGCTCTAAAACTTGCCACTCTACTTCTGCCATGACATCAAAATTTTGCAATTTGTTTTTTGGAAAATTGGAAATCTACCTAGTGAAAATTTCTAGTAGCTCTTGACAGTATGTACACTAAAAAATGTTTATGCACTGCGGGCTCATTTTTCAACAACTGAAAAATCTGGTTGGATTGACTGGGGAGGACGGTCTGAAGATGCTGTGTAGCAAGCTTGGTGTCAATACATCAAAAACTGTGGGAGGAGATAGGTTTGGACCTAACTGTATCAACTCAGTAAGTTAACAATAAACAGGAAGAGTCCCAAAGTCCAAAGTCCTCAGTTCAATTTCCCCTCTCATTTACAGTCAAGATGGGGGTGAAGATAACAGATACGGGGGTTTAGTCATCTGGTATCGTGCCTTTATGACTTTTGTGGATCGTAACTTATCAGGTATGGAATTAATCTGCTTATCCACAGTTTAAATTCAGACCAGACTTTTCTAAGAGTCAGTTTTTGAGCCACAGCAAAAGCCAAATTTGTCCTGCAACAGATTAGAGAACGCTTTTTTTTTTTTTGCCGAGCCGATTGCTGGAAATTTCCAACTATGGTAGATGCTGATTAGGAGTCAGAAGTCAATGACAGAATAAACAGAGCAGTCAATAAGATAAAATTTTCAGAATCTGTGAATCACTGCAACCACTAAATACCTTGACCTTGAGAAAAATATTAGGCTGATGGGTCCAGTAGTATTTGGTTAGTTCAGACAGACGCACACACGCACACACACACACACACACACACACACACACACACGCCAAATGTATGATTCCCTCCAGGGCTATGCCAGGCAGAGGTAGCTTACCTGGAACAGGAAAGAAGTCCTGCCTCTGCTCATGTCCTAAGGAGAGTTTAGCACCACTTTTAGAATTCAGAAAACAACGATGCATGAAAAGTGACTGGAAATAAAATTGTTGCCAACTTTATTTTTGTTGTTTGCATCCCTGATAAATGCAAAAAAGAAAAGGTTGTGTAGCAGCAAAAAAATAAATAAATCTTCAGCTCAAATGCAAATATTAGCCTAACTACCCTATTCTGCATTACATCGTTATTAGAGATTATTGCCTTATAGCCAATGCATTATAATTTATCATGACCACTGATATTTTGTACAGTCTCTCCAAAAAGCAAACTGCTCTTTGAGGCTGCAAGGAATTTGATGTGTAGCTTTTTTATGGAGATTGTGAGCAGAATTTAAAGTGAAGCATTTTCACTTTTAGCTGTCTGATAGATTCTGCCCCAGGTGAGTACATGTATGATAGACTGAGAACGCCTGTGTATCTGTCCACATGACTGCACGCAAAAGGCATGAATGCAGTTATAACCTTTATTTTTGCTTCCATCTTCCAGAAGTGCTCACCACATAATTACATATAAAAAATGTCAAAATGCTTACTTTGTTTACCTTAAAAATATATTTTGATTATTTACTCTGAATTAATTAAATCACTTATTGTAAGACGTTGGTCTTCTCTAAACTACACCATTAGGGAGAAAAGCAGATAAATAAAGATGAGTCAAGAAGAGATGAATGAGTCAGCAGAATTCCCTCCCCTCCCCTCCCCTCCCCTCCCCTCCCCTCCTGCCTTTTTCCTGTCCTGTCTTCCTTCCTCACATTATTTCTTCTCTCCTCACCTCCCCAGCTAATGAACTGACAGTAGGGAAGGTTTATGCAGCCCTGATGATCTTCGACTACTATAAGCAGAATCGAGCAAGAAGGCTGCAGCAGCAGCAGCAGCAACAGAGCATGTCAGGCTCCCAGGTACAACATCCACACAGTTGCCTGCACACGCACACACGCACGCACACACACACACACACACACACACACACACACACACACACACACACACATTGGATGTACTAGTGCAAACCTGCATGCATGTGGCCACATATATTATGCTTGCACATGCTGATACACACCTTTACTGTACACCTGCATGCATAAACACATGTTAAAAAAAATTGTTTTTGTATCCAGCAGCCATTCACTGGTGGACTACAAAATGTATGTCTGCTTTGCCAAGTTAATCTTTTCGGTGCGATTGGTAACCTGCTAAAGTTGGTTAAATAAAGCCTCACTAAGCAGCAACAGCCAAGCTGAACATGAATTTGGCTGCTGGCTGGTGGTTATTTGCAACCTTGCACATCTACTATACAGGTGCATGTTTGTTTCCATATATACAAACACTGACACAGATACACACAGATGTACTACAAGCATGACTGCGACAAATGAATATTTTGGCCCGTCTGCACAGCTGGGTGGCACTGAACCCCCGCTGTCAGGGCTGGGTGCAACAATATTCTGCCTGCTGCCTCTGAGTGTCTTCAGCATGTTGCCATACGTCTCTCCTCCACAGTGCAAGGTCGGGGCTCTGTTTAAGCCATTGCTGCCTCTGACTCACATGCAGGAGAAAGATCTGCCTATGATGTTAAACAGTGTGGAGCCTCCCAGCATGCTTCAGCCACAGCCCAAATCCCATGCCAGGTCCCAGCCACAGACCAGACCTAGCTCCAACTCCCTCAACAATGGAGGCACGCTGTAAGTTCAACACTTAAGGATCTAAAAGTTAAAGGGACAAATTACCTCAAAATCAAAAATACATATTTTTCCTCTTACCTGCAGTGTTATTTATTGATCCTTAATGTTTTGGTGTGAGTTGCTGAGTGTTGGAATATCAGCCGTAGAGATCTCTGCCATCCCTCCAATGTATGGACATATAGTATAAAACATATAAGAAAAACAAACAAACTAGAAAGCAGAATGGTCATGCTTGCTATTATATGAAGGCTGTGAACCTTAAGATTAACTTAAGATGCAGCTCAGCACTGTGTGTCAAGGTCTTCTAGTCATAAACATTATGCTGTAGTTAGGCACTTATTCAGACTTTTAAAGTTTAGATAGGGGGTAAGTACATTTTAATGGAAGTATATAATGGCCATTCACATCATCAACTATGTCTCATAAGCTGTTGCAGTAATGTTTGGGTTGATACCGCTTCTTATATAGTTTGGGTGCTAAATTTAAGCATGTTTTACCACTCAATAATTGATAAAAATAACCAAAAATCTCTTTAAAATACTACATTATGACACAAAGATCCTGAGGAACACCATAGAAAAATACATGCTGATATTTGGTATCAAAAAGGAGATTCAGGGCCGGACTGGGAAAAAAAGTCAGGCCGGGAGTCATACATCCACCCAGGCTATCCGATCTACACATTACATGCTCACACACGTGCACGTACACACGGACACACATATGGGCTAAGTAATCACCAAAGCTCATTTTTCCAGACTGACAGTCACACAACAACTCTATTAAACACAACTGTAACAGCAACCCTACTCATAGTCCTCCAGTCTAGTGCTTTTCTCTTCTCTTTCTCTTCCCTTCCCTATATGAATGGGTATTATGCTGAACTAAACAACATGATTGTATTATTTTGTCAGCAAATCATTTTGGTGTCAGCTTATCATAATCAATATGGCAACACCCATATTCAATGCAACAGTAAAACAAGTAAAAATATAAGTCAGCAGCAACTTCAACTTATCTGATCTTATTTCAGTAACATTAGATAGATATTGAAAACTTTTGAACTTAGACAGATAAGAGCCTATCCTTAAGAGGGGTCCCAAAACTGTTTCAGCCTGTGCTGCAACCCACCTGTGGAGGTATTGCTGACCCAGGAAGACCTACCAAATATTTTGTGCAGTAAAATAAACAATGTAGCAATGTTCTCACTACCATGTAAAAACAAAGGTAAAATAATTAAAATGTTTCTATGTATTGGTCAGTAGTCATCAGACACAGGCACACGTACACACCCCTCTGTTCTCTGCTCCACCTGACTCTCCACAACCAAGCTGCTTTCAGTTTACAGGCGCGCTGATTTGGGGGCGGGCACGGGCGGAAAGCGAAACAAACTAATCACGTCTTGAATCTACAAAAAAAAAACTTTTTGACCAATCGTTGTGACAAATGCTGACAAGTACCTTATCATTTCTGACAGCAGGCGGGCTCTCTGCACCGGTTCTCCCGTGGGCCAGTCCGGACCCGAGGAGATTTCTGTAAGAAAGACATTTTTCAGCAATTGGATGGCAAGCACTTCTTTCCTGAAACTGCTGAGAAATACAAAGGGCAAAGGGAAGACTCGTGGGTACCAATAAAACCCATTTTCATTCAGACATTATGAGGTCAGAGGTTAAGGGATCCCTGTGAAAATGCCCATGTCATTTTCTTTTGCCAAAATTTAGCCTAAATATGGAGCATATTTACCCTTTGGGCCCTAGGCCTTTTTGAGGTATTTTTACTGCCTTTACTTTTAAGCTCATATCAGTCATTATAAAGGCTACATACACATGCTATATCTTGTTTTTTTAAGGACAGTCTGGGCTATCCAGATTTGCCATCATTACATGTCCGTCTATGTGCCTGTATTTTATTATTGTACACTATTAATTTTATCAATGAAAAAAACAATCTGTGTTACTAAATTCTTACATTTTTACATGTATCTCACCATAGCAAGTTGGAAGTTGACATATTCTGCCATTTTTGAAGATGGGAGACTCTCTGGAATCTGGCAATATAAGAACCATGATGGTGGGACATTCTGGCACTTCACAGTTGTCCAAAACATGTGGTTTGTGCCAGGCCGACATAATTGCCAGCATTTTTTCATTATTGCAAGAAATTCCATTGACTCATTCACAAGTCAAAAATGTGTTTTATTTGAAAGAAACATACAATATTTACATCTAAGATAATGGAAAAATAATAATAATATTATTCCTCACTATATGAAGTGACTGATAACAAGATCTGTATAATGGATTGTAAAGCAATTCGTCAGGTTTTTATTTTGTAGACAATTGATCTGTATTTACAGCGTGATGGGATGACAGCACAATGATGTGTTTGGTATCATCAGAAAGCTCCGGTCCTGCGCTTTCATGTGATATGTGTGACATTTCTGTCTGACCCTGCATTCGCGAGTAATCCATCCAAGAGTAATGTGTGTGCAAAGCTGTATGAAAGCTTTGTTATACATAATTTTAGTGTAAATTTATCATTGTTTTTCCTTGTGAAAACATTAGACTACCGACAAGTGCTTGGTCTTGTCGGACAGCTGTGGTTCCGCTGTTTCACATGATATGCGTGGCTTCTCGCTATGATGCATGGTCACGGAGAAAATCAATAGAGAATGGGTGTGAATTTGGACGCACTTTGCGTCGTTCGGGCCCATAGGGTTAATCCTCTTCCTGAGAAGCGAACATGATATGGTTGGTACCACTGGATTCCTCAGGTCTTCTGATTTCATATGATATCATTATGATCAGCTATATAGTGATGATAATGGTATCAGCTTGTCTCAGAAGTTTCCTATCAACCTCAAGTCTGCTTCAGACATGAAGATATTATTAGCTAGACAGAAAATTATTTGGCAACTATTTTATAATAATCAGTTATCGAGTTATTTTCCAAGCAGAAATGCCCAGAGTTTGCCAATTCTAGCATCTGCAGTTTGAGGATTTGATGATTTTTTCCTGTTTTATATATTAAGATTATTTTTTGATTTTGCACCATTAGTTGGACAAAACAAGACTTTCGAAAATGTCTTTAGACTAATGAAAAAGTGAGATGGACTTTTGTAGCTGTTTTTTTTTCACTGTACAGAGTTGTTGGGATTCACTGGACTACAGATGATTTGGCATTTGTTAAAATCTAAACTGGACATCTGAAGGCTTCTTTTCTTGCCATCTGAAATGGTAAGAGACCTCATGTTCTTTGTTCTGCAACAAAGGACAGTTATTTGACACCCACCTCCACAGGATGCCACCTCAGACCTTGGTGAGAGTCAGACTTGATTGGACAGTACTGCTTTTTTATTGCTCTACAGACCTCTGCTCTCTTTCTCCTGGACCATGACCTGCATGCCCACAGCAGGGCCAGAACCTGGAAACCAGTGACGTTAGTGTGCCAAACACAAGGTTTGCAACTAAGAATCAAGTTGTGTTAGCACTCCAGTGTCTAACTCTGCATGGACCCTGAGCGACCAGCTTCCTCAGATCTGCACCTTTGGAACAAGGACACAACAAAGACTGCACCTGGAACCACAGCTCTTTCCAGCTTTCCCCTACCGGCTAACAAAAGCTGCAAGCCTCAAACCAACTCTTCCCTCCATTCATTCAAGGATTGGTAACGTAACAACTGGGCATAGCTTTATCCCAGCTGTACAGGCTAAGCAAGACTGTTTAACTTGTTGAATGTGATTTAATGCTGTTTACTGAGTTGTTCTTGTGATTGTTTGCAGTTAGGTTATTGGTTAGTTGGCTTTGCCTAAGCTAAGTGAGGTTAGTTTGCTAATGCTTTCACAGTCTTGCATGCAACTAAACATCCTCTGCACTAATCCAGACCCTTTGCAACACATATCACATTCACATAGACTCATCTACAAATTTGCCTTCAACAGAGCTACACCCAGACAGGCGGCTCACAATTCCCATTTCTTTTACTTTGTTTTTGTCCTGACCACACGGTCAGACAAACACCTCCGAACGGCCCTTTGATTACCACACCCGCCTTTGTCTTCCCCTCTCTCTCTAGCACACACACACACACACACACACACACACACATATATACACAACAAGCTTGTATATACACTGCTTAAATAAAGGGAACACATAATCATCACAGTGTAACTCATAGTCAATCAAACTCCTGGCATATCAACCTGTCCAGTTAGAAAGCAATACTGATTGTGAATCAATTTCACCTGCTGTTGTGCAAATTGGACAGACAGCAGGTGGAAAGGAGAGGCAATTACCAAGACTACCCCTATTTAGGAATGGTTTTGCAGGGGGTTGGCTACAGACCATTTCCCTCTCTGAGTCCTTTCCGGTTGATTCTTGGCTAGTTTTGCATTTTTCCAGTGCCCTCACCACTAGTGGTATCATGAGGTGGTATCTGCAGCCCACCGAAGTTGCTCAGGTAGTGCAGCTACTCCAGGATGGCACATCCATACAGGCAGTGGCCAGAAGGTTTGCTGTGTCTCCCAGCACAGCGTCAAGAGCATGGAGAAAATATCTGCTTCTTTGTGCAAGGAGGAACAGGAGGAGCACTGAGAGGCTCTTGTTTTTCTTGAAATCTGATTGGCTCAGCGGCAGTCATCAGTCATTACTCATGGCAGACCAGGCTAGTTTGACTGTTAGACAGAAAACATGGATAAAGCCGGTAAAAAAAGAAAGGGTGGCGTGGAAAAAACTTGAATGAAAAAACTAAAATTTTTACGAGAAGAGGCAGCAAAGTGCTCCAAAATAACTGACCTGTTTGGCCGCGGCATTGGTCGACACACTGAGGCTGCTGGTGCTGCTGACGGAGATGGAGCTGGAGCCGACAGTGCCATAGCAGGTGCATTAAAGTTAGCTAACGTTCATGAGCATGTAATGTGCAAGGTTGGCTTTCGCAAATTGCGTATTTCTTCTAGGTGTCCGGTTCAAGAGGCCAACTAGCCTACTAGGTATTGCATT